TGGGATGGGGCAGGGGGGCTGGGAGCTGGGGGGGGCTGCCTTGCGACTTGGGGCTGCCCCTGGCAGAGCCACGTCCCTGGGATGACACTCAGCCCAGGAGAGCTCCTTTCTGCCCTTCGTGTCCTGTGGCAGGGTGGGGGGGTTCCTGGTGGGGGGCAGCTCAGCCTTTTTCTGATCCGGGCCTCTCTGTTTGTTTGAGTTTGCTGTTTGAGGGCCTGGAATTTAATTTTGCGGCGGCAGCAAGCAGGGCTAATCACATGCAGATTGCCCAGCTCAAAGGGAGACCGTTCAAAGCTGCTTCAGTGAGCATGCGCTGGATTTGAGCCACCGATGAGGACTTTGCTTCTCTCCCAAAAGTACCTTCTCATGGAAATGACATTTTTTTAATTTTGTTTTTAAAGATACCATGTGCTAGTGTAAGACCTTGTGTTGGAACAGGCAGTGTTTGAGGTTGGATTAAGAAGTTTTTTTCTCTGGCTGTAGTTGCTCAGTTAGTGATGCAAACCTGCCATCGTGCAGACCCAGTGTTGCTGGCGCGTGTGATGCATCCTCATTGTTTTCAGCCTGTTTCCCTTTGGAGTCCACAGTTGCAGATGCTAGACACTGTGTGAGCCTGCCCAAGACAGGGCATGTGCTGGTGTAGCAGGCTCAAGCCTTGCATCGGCGTAGCTGACGTGAAAGGGAATGCAACTTTGCAAGTGTAGACCAGCTAAATAAAACGTATCCTGGTCCTTGGGAAGGCTTTTTTTTCCTCACTGGGATATTTCTAGCCAGACCCAAGGATGGTTTGGGTTTTTTTCAAATGCTCATGGGAGAGCAAGAGCTGCAGGCAGCAAGGGGCAGCAGCTGCCAGCCAGTTTGCAAGGAGACAGAGATGTCCACATGGCCGTTTTGGCCGGTGGGTCACATGCCAGGACAGGGGGGCTGCTCAGAGGACCCAGCTGGGTGATGGGCGCTGGGTCTGTCCCTTCCACTGGTCCTGTCCCCCCACCACAGGGCTGAACCCCAATTTGAGCCTGGCTGGTGCCGCCTGTGTAGGCACTGGCACAGCTCTGAAGTTTAGCTGATTTTAATAGGAAATGCTTGCTTTGCTGAGCCGTGGGATGCAGCTGCCTGCCTGCCCTGGAGCTGCCACGTGGGTCTGGGGGCTGGAGCGTCCCCTGCTCCACAGCCTGGGGTAGGGGGACTTGCCTCCACATTTTCCGGGGTGGAGCTGGTTTTGTTTTTCCAAGCCAGGGTGGACTTGGTGCGGCTGACGGGCCCTTTGCTTTCTGCTGGGCGCCTGCAAAGAGAGGTTTGTGGTTTTTTTCCTTTCTGTGAGTTCTGCTTCTCTTTTCCAGCTCTCCTTTTGCATGAGGTTTGTCTGAGCATGGCAGTGCGGGTGTGCACATGGCTCAGCAGCTAGAGAGCAGCACCCGGCTCTTGGCCAGGGTGATAGAAACGTTCTTTTCTGTTCTGTTTGGGGAGAGATTTTTTCCAACCTCTGTGCTAGAGGCTTTTGCTTTCATTCTCACTAGATTAAGTATCTGAGATTTGTGCCTGGCTTAAAGCACGCAGGTGAATTTTGCCAGTTTTCCCAGTGAAGTGCTTGGGAGGGCAATTCAGTCTGCTGGATCACCTCTCCAAACCTGCCCATGAACCCAGCTGCCCTCCTTCCCATCTCTTGCTGGGGCTGCACCACCCTTCTGGGGAAGGGGTTCCCCCCACACCCCATCCCACCTGAACCCCCCAGGGCTGCCCTTTGTGGCTGCTGCCCCATGTTGTATCATCTGCTACCACCTTCTTGGATGGAGCGTGGCACCGTCCCATTCACAGCCCCCCTGGGGGTGCAAGAGTACAATTCTGGCTCTGTGGGGCATTGCTGCTTGAGTTTTCCCAACACTTCTAATATCTGTGGTCCAGGGAGGCTGGAGCAGCCTCTAAATTTATTATAGCACCAGGCCGAGTGGATTCTGGGCTTTTTGTGCAAGGGTCCTCTTGTTTGGGTCAGCAGGATGAGCACTGGGGAGGACACATGTTGGCAGCTTCACATGGCAAGAGGTTTAGCTGTTGTGGCAAGTGTGGCTGTTGAGAAGCGGGGAACAAGAAGATCACCGGGGCTGTGGGCCAGGTTCCTGAGGCTTGAGCACCATGCTGCCTCTGGCTTTTTGCAAGCCTCACCTTTTGCTTCATGTGAGAAGCTGCTTCCCATTTGTGTGCCCCACAACAGCCCCCAGCATCTGTGCCTGCACAACACTTTTCCTGTGCACCTTCCCTTTGAGCAGAAATGCTTCTGAGTGTCAGAGATGGGGGGCGGGAGGGTGTTGGCTTTTTTTTTTGTGTGTGTGTCTCTCTTACCTTACCACTGCCAGCTAAAACCTCCTTTTGCAATCTCTGTAAAGTGTTTGGATGTGATGCTGTGCTTTTGTGTCTTTTGCAAGCTTCCGGCAGTTGCTTATTCATGTTTTCGAGGTTTTCTTTTGCTAAAAATGTATGGTGGAGGCTTGTAAAGCTGCTCTGTTGGAGCTTTGTAACTCTGAACCCAAAAGGTGTCTGCCTACAAATCCTGGGCCAATATGGGTGACTGGAGCTGCGAGTCCACATAGCTCTGTCATGCCTGTCTGTTTTTAGCAGGGGCTCAAAATAAAGTGGCTCCTATGTCAGGCGGTCACCTTGAACAGAAGCAGAAAAGATTGCGATGGAGTGAATCGGGCTGGAAAGTTTACCCAGTAAACATGGATAGGGATACAGTTTTGGCAGGTGGGACAGCACTCACAGCAAACTTCGCATGCTTTCTTGGCATCAGCAGATCGTGTCCTGAGTCAGCATCCTTGGGAGACAACAGCCTTGGGGCTGCTTGCTATCCAGGTAGTCAAATTTCGGTCAGAATGATTTAAAATTAACAACTGGAACCGTGACTCTGGTCACCGGTTGGAAAGCCTGTGTTTGCAAATTTGGCTTTAGCCTCATCCTGCCTGGGAAGTGAACTGAAAGCATCAATTTGCGGTGGATGGTATGTTGCTGTTGCTTTTGTCAGCCACATGGCTTTATGAAGTAGTTTGTTTTAGCCGTATTTGAAAACAGCCTATTCAGGTTTTTTACATTTTTGTATTCTTACTGACACCAGTGAATGTATTAACCGGGTGATTTGCGTCAAGCCTGTCTCAGAAGCGGCTGCCTTGCTGTATGTGTATGATGCCAGTGCCTGGGGTCTCCTTACTGACCTGCATGTTGGCTGCATCCCTCAGGGCAGCGTTTGCAAGAAGGTGTGCTGCCTTTAAAACTGATTTGATTAACTGGAGGGTCGGAGCAGTACAGATCATTTCTCACCAGTGTCCTTCAAGACTGAAACTGTTAAATATCTGTCTTCCGCAGCTGGTTTTTATCATGAATGTGTTTTCCTCTCCCACCTTTTCCTTGCTGATGTTCCAGCCTCCTGAAGGCAAACAAGAGCAAGCGCTGGCAGGATAAGAGGTCCATGTTTGGCCCGGGGAGGCTGGCGGGTGCCAGCCTGCAAAAAGCCCTGCTTGCAGTGTCCCGATGCTTGTGGCTGTCCTTGCCCAGCTGGAGCTCACAAGCCGCCAGCGGGAGATTTCCCCTGTAAATTCACCTAAATGACAAACTTTCATTTCCTCCCCCCTTATGCTGCGTGAGTGAGTGCGAGACATTAAAAGAGCCTTTGTTTGTTAAACCAGAAAGCATCCCCCGGGCTGATGGGGCTCACAGTTGTTTCTTGGGAGCAGCAACTGGGAGCAGAGAGTGCAGCAACTGGGAGCAGAGAGCGCAGCCCACCCTGGCAGGAAGGGGCTTGCTCGGTGGGACGGCAGCCAGCCGGTGCCTGGGAGCGGGCCGGGCTGGCAGGGCCCCACGAAGGGATGTGCTACTTCCGCCCCGCTGCTTCCTGCAGCGTTCCACGGGGTCGGTCCTGCTGCTGGTGGCGGGGTACGAGCAAGGCAGGAAAATAACGTCCCTGGGCACAGATGCCCAATGTAATCCCATTTGCTGGCCATGACCAGTTAGGTGAACCATGCCCAGTGCAGTGCCTTTTGCAGTTTTAAATACACAAGTGTAGCATCATCCTGAGTGCTGGTCTCCTAACGGACGCTGCAGGGCAGAGGGATGGGCAGCGGGAAGCAGGCATGGAGGTTGGCTGAGGTCAGAGACTGTTCTGGGAGAGCGCTTGCCACCATGGCAGGGAAGCGATAACCAAATTCGGAGGAAACGATGCACCGTCTCCCCCTCCTGCCCCCACTGGTCTCGCTGCTCTGGCGCCTGCCCCCTGCCTGTCCCACCGGCACAGGGGTGGCCGTGCCTGGCCCGATCCTGCCACTGCTGAGCCCTGGTCCCGGTCATGCCGCTGCATGTTCCTTCCTGCCCCAGTTCCTCCTATTCTTGCCTCTTCCTCCTGCTGCAGAGCGCCCTTCCAGCTCTCTCTGCAAGCCGCTTTTTGGCCAGAGAGGCTTCGGCCCCAGCTGTACAGCTGCAGGGCAGGCATCCGCAGGACCCAGCTTGCACTGTGGGGCAGAGAGGGAGCCGGGCAGGCACTTCAGGGTGCAGCTGGGAATTGCGGGAGTGCTGAGAGCATGGGCAGACTGATCCCAGTGCCCGGGCTCTGAGAAATCGCTGCCTTCTCCTTGTGTGAGAGGGAAACGTGCAAACTTGCCCATTTAACCTGTGCAAAATGCAGAGATCCCTTTGCATCATGCCTGTGATGCCAGTTTCTGCAAGGTCTTGCCTCCACTGTGCAGGCAGTGAATTGGGCAGCAAAGCTTCCTCTCTGCCACTTGGGGTACACTGAGCACCTCTGCCTCTTTGGCCAGTCTCCTCCTTGCCATCTGCAGCCTGAGTGAGCACAGGTTTGTGGAGTAGCACAACTGAACTAAAGTAGCTTCTTCTAGATAAATAACCAGTGAATGAGCCATGAGCCTGGAGCATTATTTCTGCTTTTTTAGTAGTCACTTGTTGGGGTATGCGCGAGGTTGATTGTGATGGCCACTGTCTTTTAGAGCTCTAAAAATCAGTTGCGCCCCCTTCTCAAGAGGCTCCATAAGTGCAGCGTACCCCCCACTGGCACATGCACACAGAAGTGTGCACGCTGTGCATGCCCTCGGAGCAGCCTGGGGGTCTCTTCAGCAAATGCAAAGAGGAGACAGTAGCTCTAAGACACATGTGCGAGTGCATGCATGCACACACGTGCATGTGTTCACACTCAGATGGAGGAGAGGGGGAGGGTACAGCAGCCAAATCTTTAAGGAGCAATCCCCAGCCTAGTGCTTATGGTGAAGACCTTCTGCTTTATGCGCAGGGGCCTCAGCATCGCCACCCGCTGCAGAGGTTTTGTTGGGAGCCAAGTATGTGCGCAAAGCCCAATTTATTAGCTTGCCATTGCTGAGAGCAGGACATGGCAGCAAGAGAGGTCCTTCGGCGGGCAGCTACCACGCTCGTTAGCTTTTTGCAGCAAGTCTGTTCATCAGGGCTGGAGCAGCTGAAAGCAAATACTGCAGAAAGGCCAGCCTGGATGTTAAGAGAAGGCATCCACAAAAGGTCTGTGGTCAGCGATGCTGTGTTTAGGCCCAGACCCATGTACAGCTGTATGGGAGGGACCACTTTGGAGCCAGTATGGCGGAGCGGGGAAGCCCTGGCAAGCAAAGAGCACTCGTGCAGATACATGAGCCGAAGTCTTGCGAAGTAGGTCTCATCAGCCGTATCAGGTTGGGTGTACCTGCCCTCTCTCCTTGAGCTTAGCCTTGAGCAGCTCAGAGGCTGCCGTCCTCTCTGTGGTACCAGGGGGGCTTCTCAGTTTTACACACCAGTTTTGGCACAGATTATTTTGGCGGTTTCAAAACCTGCTGCTGTTGAAACTGTGTGCAGGAATTGCCAACCTGCATGCAAATCTGGATATGTTTTTTTAGTAGGACTTTTAGTAAATAATGGGCATGCCTACGGAACACTGAAAGTATCTATAAGAAAAAAAACAAGAAAGGGGGTTTTGTTCACTTTGCATGTGGCTAGTCTTGGCGTAATTACTTACGTCGGTAGGAGAGCAGGACTATTTTTGAAGTGCTTGATTCTCACGCTGTGCGAGGTGGATGAGAGCACAGAGGGCAATGCTCTTCTCTAGGCTGGTTTTGTGGCACACGTGCCAGTGGGAGCACAGCTGTTGGTTTGCCACACAGATGGGAGGATTTTCAAGACTTGTTTGCTGTCAGCAACTTGGCTGGGGTCTGGCACCAAGAGGCTACAGTGTTTGCGGATTTGCTCTGAATGGTGGTGTGCAGTTGCTTTGGGTACAGCTGGTCCAAGCTTCAGCACTTCCATGCACTGCTGGGATTTTGTTTGGATTCAAACCTCTGTTTTAAAAAACAAAACAAAAGAAAACCCAAATGTGTAAAGGGTGTGTGCTCAGAGAAATAGATTGTGTGTGCTCACTTGCTTCATGCTGTGCCTCTCTTCCAGTTGGTGCACTACGTGTGGAGTTTTTCCAGCCTGTGAACCTGGAAGAAGTGGCAAGAATAAACCCAGCGGTCAAAGCAGGAGGTCGTTTTGCTCCGAAGAACTGTATAGCACTTCAGAAAGTAGCAATAATCATACCGTTCAGGAACCGAGAGGAGCACCTGAAGTACTGGCTCTATTACCTGCACCCAATTCTCCAAAGGCAGCAACTAGATTATGGAGTATATGTTATCAACCAGGTAAGATGCTAAAGACACAGGGCTTTATAACACTCTCATAACAGTGCCCATGCCCCCTAAAACAGAGGAGTGGTTGCTTTATCCTGATTGGCAGTGGGCTGGCAGGAAGGCATAAGGTTGCTTAAAAAAAAAAAAAAAAGAAAAAAAGGCTGTAGCACAAAAAAAAAAGTGAAAATGAACATGAGCAATTTTGCTTTGATCTTGATGGAAAACCTGGGGTCCCCTCCTCCAGTCAGGCACGATTCGCTCTAAAGAGCTTCTGCTTAAAGAAACCACTTGGTGAGGAGGGAAAAAATCCCTAATGGCACAACCCAATCTAATTTCTCTTTCCAAATGTTCCTTTTTCCCAACTGCTGCAGGAATTGCAAACGGAGGTCTTTAAGGTGACAAGGTAGCATTAATGCCTAATCTGGCATTGGGTGTGCCATAAAGCCATAGGATTTCACATACTTTCTCAAGCAACTTCTGTTCATGTTAGTAATAGTGCACAAAATGTCAGGATGGAGAAAGCAAAGCTGTGGCAGTGGAGGAGGTGAGTGATTGCCTTCAGGTGAATAGAACAGAAAAGAAACAAGTAGTGATGGGGGGGTGGTTGTTGGTTGTTGTTTTTTTTTTCCCCTCGATAACTGATTGCCTTAGACCTGTCTTTAAAAACAAACAAAAAAAACCACAAAAAAAGCGCCATGTTTCACTCCAAGCAAGCTGTCTTAATTTATACCATAATGGTGGTTAATGAGTGGGTGTTGCTCACACTTGGAAAAGCTTAAAATGTGTAGGCATTTGCATGGGCTGCAGCGTGAAAGGGCAGATGCAGTTCTGAGAGCCCCAGCAGAGACTGCCGGCTGGACAATCTCACAGTGCAGTTTCTCTCTTGGATATGTATTTATATCCTGTTTTCTCAGCTCTGTAAAAACTGAGATGAAATAACATGCTGCTTTAAATGTAACTCCTTAAATTTGCAGATCAGCTGATGTGTTTGGGCATATCAAACACCATGAATATTTAAAATGGTTGCCCAAGCGATAAATTTCCTTACAGAATTGAAAGTAAGGGGAGACCTTTTTCTAGAGAGAAAACCAGTACTCCATTACTACTATTTCTCCTACTTTGCTCATTTCCAGGGTGCCCAAGATCTGGGCAAAAGTGCTTTGTGGGGAGTTAGTGGTAGCTGCCAAGCACAGCAGCCAAGATGCTCCAGTGTCTGTGGCCGACTGTGCTTGTGGCCTGGCGGCTGTGTTGTTGAGAGCACAAGGTGTTTCTGCAGCATGCGGACTGGCACGCTGTGCCCTAAAATGAAGCCCTGTAAGGGGACTCTTCCTGTATAATGCAAAGAGCAGCTGGTGCCGCTGCGGTCCAGCAAAGCAGGGCCAGCCCCAGCCCTTCGTCCTTCAGGCTGCATTTCCTTGCACATGCAGCATTTGTCTGTGCAAGTTACTGGTGTCACAAGGTTACTTGAGCCACGGTCCCCACCGGTCACTGGGGTGCAGGTGGGTGAAGGTGGCAGAGCAGCATGCCTCCCTTTTCTGAGTGTGGCTCGGAAGCGAGGGTGTGATGTGGTTTCCAGCAGTGATTCTGCAGTGGGGGCTGCTGCTTTCCTGGCCAGGTGTAGCTCACCGGCTGGGTCTGCGGAGGATCGGAGAAAGCTGCCCGCCCGCAGTCTGGGGGCACCACTTGTGGGCGAGCAACCATCTCCATAGCAAAGAGCCGTCGGTACAGCTGGGGATGGTATTTCCCCATCAGTGGTGTTTGAGGGTAAGGAAGGCGAGGGGCCCGGTCACATGGAGCTGTGCCGGCACCGGTAAAGGCAGACAGTGTCCAAAGCTCGGTTGGAGTTCCCGCTGCTGCTGCAATGGTGCATGCTGGCTTGCATTGCCCTGCATTGCTGGCTCCTCCTCTTCTCTGGTCCTGTCCTCCAGTGCTAGGGCTGTGGAGCTGTCTGTGTGCTCTAAAGTTAGCCCTCACAAAAATTACTGAAGCAAATGTTTTTTTCAGATGCATCCCTTGAGCAAAGTTGGAGTGGGAGTGACATGCAGTACACAGGGTATATATGTCCTAGACACATCCAGCAGTCAGATGTAGGTTAGCAAGTAAGACTATTTGATTTGTAAAATAAACATGGTCCTTCTGCATGCCTCTAACAAGCTGTGTCTGGAAGAGGTGGAGTGGCCAGTGGTAGTAAACCCACTGGATGCATCTCTTGAGGGTGAGTGGGAACACTGAATAGAGAGAGTTGCAGAAAATGTATTAATTCTGCCAGAAGTACAGTAGGAAAACTGTCTTATTTCTCTGCTGTCTTGACAATTGCTTTTCTCTTTTTCTTGTCTGTCCTTCCCTTTGCATCTGCCCTCCTTTTTTATTATTTTATTTTTCCTTCTAGTGGGGAAATATTACCTTTACTTGTTAATCCTGTCTATAGCAAAGCAATCACTGAAGCAAGGAGAATTACTGTGTGATCTGGTTCTTACACGCTGCCTACGTGCTCTTCTGTGCTCTGCATCTCATAGAAAGAAAGAGGAGCGCTGAGCCCTGCTACTGCTGCACTGGTAATGTCAAACTTCTTCCTTTCAGCGCAATGTGTTTCCATCACGAGTCCATTGTGTCTCCACCATGCTGTTCTTGTGTGCCTGAATGCCTCGGAGTAGGACTTGGCTGAAGTCAGGGGGATGATGTTTGTAAAATGTCCGGTGTGTAACAGGAGCCAGTGGAAAATATATATTATGCTTCACCCTCCGCACCCTACCCCCCAGCAAAACCCAAACCCGATGTGTGGAGTAGCAGTTGCAGGATCTTTCAGATAAATGTGAGATGAGGACACGCAGCTGGGCGTGCTTTTTGTAGCACCCATTCAATGCCATGCAAGCTTGACTTCCATCAAGTGAGAAGGCAGTGGTGAATTTGTGGCGTCTGCCTCAGTCCTGCTCACTCCCACCGTTACCCACATGCTCTCCGGCACCTTCAGCCATTGCCACGTGGGTGCTCAGGTCTAGAAATGAGTTTTCTTCCTGCAGTTCAGCCTGTGCAAATGCCCATGCAGCCAGACTGAAGTTTGGGAAAGGGGAGACTTAGCAAATTCCCTGAAAACCGTGCAGCTGCAGTTTTCCACTGGCCCCTGGCATTACCTGCAGTGTCCTCGATAGCCTTTTTCCAGAGTGTGTGTGTGCGTGAGTGCAGAGTGGTTGGGGCATTGCACTTATTCATGTTATTTTGCAGGGGGTATCAGGACCCCCCAGGTATGCAGGCAAAGGAGGAAATTGTGCTCAGCTCCTGCTTACCCTGGCAGTGGTGGGGGAGGAGAGTTTCCCCTGTGGCTGCTCTCTCCTGCTGCCTGATGTAATGGTGCTGAGGCCTCAAAACACCCTCTAACAGAGAAATAGCAAAGTGTCTCCTGGTGTCTCTGTAAGGCCCTGGAAATCTGTTTCTGCCTGCTCAAGTCCACTGGAGCCTGGACTTTCACGTGGACATGGTGTGTGTGGTTCAGGCCGTCTTGGGGGATCCCTGACTTAGCTAGCAACCTCCTGTTGGAGGTGATGGCTCTCTCCTAGCTGGCCAGAAACACGTATCCTCACCATTACCTCCCTGAGACCCGGTGAGTTTAGGATCCAGGTGAGAGAGATGCAGCCATAGGTCCTCTGCACTGCTGTGCTGTCTGCAGGAGGAATCACAGAGCTGCCTCCCACGTGGAAGTGGGAGGCAGGACGAAATTGGGACAGATGGCTTCTTGCTGGTTTGCAAGCCCTTTAGCTTGAGTGACAGTTCCAAAACCCTCAATTTTATCTGTCTGGCACTAAAAAAAGGTATCATCCTTTGGTAAGTCTGGCTGAGCAAACCAGATTCAGCAAAGGTAAGGGATGGGAAGTAAAACAGCCTGGATGTTCTTTTGCTTGGGCTGATCATCTCCAGGTGTGAGAAGGAGTCAGTGTCAGATGCTGCAGGACTGAGGCAGCAGATTGTCCCCCTTCAGCCAGTCTCTCGTGGACCAAGGAATGGGGATGTACTTGAACATGCTGGGAGAGAACAGAGAGTAAAATCAGGAGCCAGAAACAGGTACTGGGTGCCAGCACTGAACTTGGACATGGGTTAAGTTTCAGGACAAGAGAACATAGGGAAAAAATTGTCAGGAAAAAAAACCATAGCAAAACCATGCTTGGACTTAGTTGAAAGCCTAGGAGATAAGTGTGGAGGCTATGTCTAGAGCTTGGCTGCATTGTCAAAGCAGCAGTCTCCTGTGCGCTGCCTAGCTCTTCAGGATGATGCTCCTCTGTCCAAGAAAGTCCAAACTGATCCATTTCCTTGTGGCAAACGATAGGGAGCCTCCAGGGGATGAGGAGCTGCGAAGCAGAGGTGAGGGCTGGAGATTCTTCAATTGTGCTTTATCTGCTCTCTCGAGGGTTGCCTGTGGTACTGTGCCCTGTGCTGACCTGGAAGGGACAGCAGCATAGAAAGGAGATTTCCCAACTCTGCTTTTTTTTTTTTTTTTTTTTTTTTTTTTTTTTTTTTTTTCTTTCAAAAAGTTGGGGATGGGGATCAGTCAAAGATGGAAGCCTGCAGCACGTTTCTGAGTTTTGAAAGATCTGAATCTCAGATACTGCAAGCACGCCAGTGCTTCCACATTGCCTTAGGTAAAGGATCAGAGCTTTCTACAAAAAGCAAAACCTCGTCAGCCTTTTTTTTCTCCGATACATGCTGTAGAGCCCTGCATAGCTCCTGGGACAGAAAACGAGCCTCCTGCCTTCAAAGGAGTCACAACTAATAACAGCATTGCAAGGTTTGCTGCATGAGCTACCTGCTCGCTGTAAAGTTACTAAAAAAATGGCTTGGAGAGGGGTTTTTGTTTTGGTTTTTTGTTGTGATTTTTTTTTTTCCTCCCAGGCCTTTTGGATCCCACAGTGTGAAACTGTGTGGCCATTTGGGAGGAGAGCGGCAGTGCCCATGTGAAGTGTTTGTCTGTCTGGTCCCTCTCCACACACAGGGCTGTGGCGTGTGCTCTGCTGGGGTCCGGTGGATGAGGCGGCAGGAGGGGTCCCGCGCACTCTTGGTCCGGTCACTGCGCTGTGCTTTGGGGTTTTTCAGGGAGAGGTTTAAAAACGCAGCTCCTCGTAGCATTGTTAATCCCTAAGTGTCACCCAGAGGAGTTAGAGGCTACTTGAAGGTGTGGGTTAATTATGGCTGAGCCTCTGCTGGTAACAAAATCGGTGTGAAGTGCCTTTGCCTTGAAATTTCAGTATGGAAAAGAGCAGCCAAAGGGTGTGAAATGAGGACACTCCTAGACTGGACCCAGCAGGTGCTTTGAGGTGTGAGCTTATTGCACTTTGCGCCAGCACCGGGAAAAGTCCCCCTTGGGACTATGGAGCTAGGCCCAGCTTTGGTGCCGTGGGACCTGAGGAGCACTCAGCAGCTGGGGCTGGGCAGCCCTCTTCGGCGTGGGAAGAAAACCCTCCGATCCCACAGCCTCAGCCGCTCCCTCTCCCCAGCCTCTTTGTTCAACTTGCCTTCATTTTCTGCACTCAAGTTTTCACTGCTCTTGCTTATGCATGATGGTGATCATCTTCTCACCACCTTAGTTATTGCATGAACCCTTTTGTTTCGGGTGAGGATGCTGAGTATTTGCTCAGATCCTCCTCCACGAAAGCTCACTCCTCCCTGTGAAGTCATTTACGCCCAAGGCAGGTGATGAATGCTTTTGAAAACCTTGGTTTGACACTTGCATGTTAAAACCTTCATTTGAAAGATATTTGTGGCTGTTTCAAGAACCTGCTTTGGCTCTCCAGCCGCAGGTCCATTAACCAGTCTGGATTAAACAGTTTCCAGACTGATTATTTATTAACCAGGCAAAGCCATTTGGGAGGAGGTGATGTTCTAAGCTGCTGCTCCTTGGGCATAGTATTTTATCCATCCTTGATTCACATCCCATGCCAGGTGCAGGTACCGCAGAGTGGGGGGATGGCTTGCACGGCGGGGGAGTCCTTTGGCTCAACACTGCTCCGAGGGTGTGGAGAGGGAAAGGTGGGATGTGGTAGAAGAGAAAGGATTTGGCAGTCTTGGTTTCCAGGCTGGCAAAAAACTTCAGCCTCCTTCAGCAATTCCCTATGAGTTCCCTTCCGCCTGCCCTGTTCCCCTGCACAGAGTTTGGGTTTGAAGCTGCTGCTGCAGAGTTGGGTCCTGGATTGGAAATCCTTACTCTCAAACCACCGGTATTCTCAGGTTTGTGGGTATGATCCTGTTGTTTTTTGAAAGTACTCGAGCAATTTGCGAGCCCGTACTTGTGCTCAAAGCCACGTGTGCTCTTGAAACGTTTCTGCCTGAGAGAGGCCAAACTGATTTCTCCTCGGGTGCCTCGTTGCTTGGGGAGGAGAGCAGAGAGTTTCCTGCCCCACTTTCTGCAGGTCCCTTTGTTAACTGCGCCTGCCCTGGGATAAATGTGCCCTGCTGCGGTGTCAGCTCTTTTCAGGTCCTTCTCATCACGGCGACAGCCCTCCTGGTTTCGTTTTCCCGGTGAGGCCCCCAGGACAGATGGTGGGTCGTGCCGTGCTCTGGCTGGCAGAGGAGCAGCAAAGAAGGGGCCGTGCACCACAGCAGACGGTGGTGTCGAGTGTGTGAGCCATAGCCCTTGCAGGAAGCAGCTCGCACCAGCCTGCCATCCAGTAAACAAGGCTGGGTGTCACAGCCACGTGCCAAACCAGCAGCTCCCTTTCCAGGGCCTGGGGAGCGTGCACGACTGCCCAGAGCTTGGCACGGGAGCAGGAGCGAGCGGCAGAGCATCAGACCTTAGCTCCTGGTGCCACCCTGTGCTTTGCAAATCAGGTCTGGTGTGTGCTCATATGTGCTGCTGAGCAGAGGCTGTGCCACGGTCCCACAGCTGTCTTGAGGCAGAGATTATGAAGAGGGTGCCAAAATCCTGGCCACAGCAAGGTTTTGGTCCTTGTCCTGGCTGTAAGCTAAAGCACAGCCAAGGTTTCCCTTTGTAGCAAGGGTCCTTTTTTCCAGAAGAGCTCATGTCTCTTTGCTTTTCTCCACTGCTCTGGGAAGCCCCAGCTGCTTGCCCCGGCAGTCCATAAACGTTATCACAAAATTCAATCCCTAAATGCCTGTGCATGGGGTGGGACGGGGGACCGCTCAGCATCAAACCTGCCTGCTTGGAGCCTCCCACCAAGAGAGGGGAGCTGAGCCAGGTCCAGCCTTTCCTCAGCCGTTTTGGCTGCCCCCGTGGTTTGCAGCTGGCTTGGATGCCATTGTCCTACAGGTGGCATTCTGGGGGGAGCTCGCTGCAGATGTCCTGTGGGTACTGCGGGGGGAGTGCTCGGGCTTAAGTTCAGTCCATCACAGGCACGCCAATCCAGTGCGGCGACACCGGCGTATGGCGACAGGTAAGAAACTGCTGATGTCAACTGTTAAATTTAAGTCACTTAACTGATTTTTTTTGTTGTTGTTGTTTTTAAATTAGGACGGAGAAGAAGAATTTAACCGTGCTAAACTGCTGAATGTAGGATTCACAGAGGCTTTGAAAGAGTATGACTATGATTGCTTTGTGTTTAGTGACGTAGACCTAATCCCAATGGATGACAGGAACACCTACAAATGTTACAGCCAGCCACGGCACCTTTCCGTATCCATGGATAAATTTGGATTTCGGTGAGACGCCTTTTGGAGCAGCATTTTGTTCCTAATATTGCTGTTAGCCTAGCAGGCCAGGCGCAGCATTACACATCCCCACCCACCACTGAAAGCCTGGGAAAATGTCTCTGGCAAAAGCCCGTCTTGGCGTGCGCGTCCCTGCAGGGAGCGGGTGGCTGTGAGCGGGATCGGCTGGAGGGGAGGAGAAACGCAGCTGAGCAGTTTATTAAAATTCATGGCTTCTGGAAAGTGAAACGTCGGGTGAGGAAAAACTAAGAGCCCATCGTTTTGCAGATGCCCACATATCCCTTCTTGTGTTTCAGACTGGAAGCTGGAAGACAGCTAGTGTTTCCACCCAGTCTGAAAAGTGAGACACTCTCACACAGTGAGAATTATGTGCAGCTTTAAAGACTGCATCAGATGCTATTTTAAGCGCAAAATGATATATTTTTGGCTGTTCGATTTTGGGCCACTGGGGGACCTGCCCTGGTATCTGAGAACAACATGAAATGAAATGCCTTTCAGCATACATTTGGGTTCAGCAGGTTGCTGCAAACAAACATGCGTCTTGCTTTTCCTTTCTCCCCCCCCCCCCCCCCCCCCCCCCCCCCCCCCCCCCCCCCCCCCCCCCCCCCCCCCCCCCCCCCCCCCCCCCCCCCCCCCCCCCCCCCCCCCCCCCCCCCCCCCCCCCCCCCCCCCCCCCCCCCCCCCCCCCCCCCCCCCCCCCCCCCCCCCCCCAAATCCCCAAGGGGGAGTTTAAAAGCTCATCTATAAGGTGAAAACCTGTCGTGACCCCATGGTGGCCAGTAGTGCTAAAGATACAGCAGTGGTGTTGGTGGCAGGACCCCTGCACATCTCCACTCCAGACCCAAGCCCTGCTTGGAGCAGGACTGTTACCAGCACCACAGCAGCTGCAGTTTTTTCTTGCAGCTAGGTGAAGCTTAGAGCAGAAATGCAGGCCCCAAGGGGTTGTTCTGCTTGCTGAAGCAGAGACAAGGTCTGCGGTAGGTCCTGGTGATCCCTGCGTGTGCCCTCTCCTGGTGCTGTGGGTCTGAATTTCATCTGTCCCTGATCCCCCGGTGAATCGTCCCCCATTTTGAGCAGGAGCTGGTTGGCTTTGTGTGTGCAAGGTCATGCTGCTGGCTCAGTTTTGGGCTGTGAGCTTTCCTTTGGGGCAGTGGGGATCATGGAGGCGAGCGGTGGAGCTGTGGGAAGAGAAAGCTCTGTGGCACCTCCGATGCCTCACAGAGCTCTTACCACTCCTGGGGCGTACATGTCACCCATCTGTCCTTTGGCAAGGTGATGTGCATCTCACTGGCCTGTCCTTTGAGGACAACGTACTTCTCGGTGAAAGATTGCAGCCATTGCCAGTTGCAAAATACTTCCCAGGTGTATTTGGGACTGAGCTCACCGGCTCCCTGTGCCTCGGCCGAGTCCAGGGCACCGAAACATGTGCTGCTCCCTGCTGCAGGGAGGCGCCTTGCGGTGGGTGCTAGCTTGCGGTGGGCTGGGGTGAAGGGCAGGGGCAAGCCCTTTTCGGGTGTGCAGGCTGCTCCTTGGCTAGCACCTCTCCTACTCTAATGGCCTTTTCTCCCTGCTTCCAGGTTGCCTTACAATCAGTATTTTGGAGGCGTATCTGCCTTAAGCAAGGAGCAGTTCACAAAGATCAACGGGTTCCCAAACAATTACTGGGGCTGGGGTGGTGAAGATGACGACATTTATAACAGGTAAATAAATACCCTCCTTGGCACCCAGAGTGCCTCCGGGGTGGGGATGAGTACAGACCTGCTGCTCTTGCCCGGGTGTGTGTGGGGGTGCAGGTTGTCTCTTCACCCAGACTGTCGGAGCCTCCCCTCTGGGTGGGGGACGGAGGTGGCACGTGGGCAGCCTGCTGGCTGGGGGAAAGCGCCTCGGGTGCTGGCTGTTCAAATTCCAGTCTACAGCCTGGAGCAAGGTTAATGAGGGCGTTGGAGGAGCTGGTGGTGCAGGTGTGGGTGTGGTGAATTAGCAGATCCTTGGTGTTGGCAGGGGGACATCTCTTTTCCCCATGCTGATGTGCCCACGTGGAAAGGGACTGGCTTTCCCTCCCTTTGGTGTTAGCAAGCCTGCAAACGCACTAGTGATATCCTAAAAAAAAAAAAAA